GACCATTCGCGCTCCGCGCGTTGACTTGTTATATACACATCCCATTACGCAAATTTTACTGGCTCTGCGTTGCTACGGAAAATTTTTACCGTTCTGGTTGTTAATATTTCACCATTGCCGACGTGATAATGCGTTGCTTTCATAATAATTACGCAAACTTATTTTCCATTGTTTACGTACAGCCAGTACGGCTGTGAATATTTCAACTTTGCCGACTTGATAATGCGTTGGCTTCGTAATAATTGCGCAAACATGTTTTTCATTGTTTACGTACTGGCTGTGAATATTTCAACTTTGCCGACTTGATAATGCGTTGCCTTTGCAATAATTACGCAAACTTATTTTCCATTGTCTACGTACTGGCTGTGAATATTTAAACTTTGCTGACTTGATAATGCGTTGCCTTTGTAATAATTACGCAAACTTATTTTCCGTTGTTTACGTACGGGTTGTGAATATTTCAACATTGTCGACTTGAAATTGCGTTGCTTTTGTATAATTTGTATAATTTATAACTACGAGACTTAGTCGAATCCGCTACTTACTGCCTCAGAGACGGGGCCTCTGAATAACTGTTGTTGATAATGATAATGTAAACAAACACGCACACACAAAAAATTAAAGCCAGAAAAGTCAAGTCAAGAAACAACATTTCAAATAATAATAATTATGGTTTGACATCTATATCATTTTGAAATATACTAAATTTCATGTAAATAAAATCCATGCGTTACAATTTACTGTAATTTCAAACTCGGGCAGCGTACTTTGAACGCAGAGTGAAAAAAACAAAACAACGTCAGGTGCTTTTGAACTACGTGCGGTTGGCACAGTAACAGGCAATGACCTCAGTGGTTCACGCGCAATGAAATTCTAATCGAGCCAGCTAGCGTTATCGTACGGTATCATAAAGTCAATAATTATTCATTCAAAATGCCGTTCACACTCACGAGTACCATGGAACACGAACATGTAACAGAAAAATATCGTCTTTTGTTTAAAGAAGATTCTGTCGACCAAGAATACATGCGCAAGGCAAGACTTATGAAAGGAAACAGAAAATAATCATGTCATTGTCAGTGCAATGCAGACAGCCTGACCTGTTTTGATTAGTTCGCCCGTTTCTCGTTTGCTGGCCATTTTTTCTGGAGTGTGACACAAATGGTGAACATGATACTGCCAAATCAATCAAGAACCAGGATACGGCTTGGATACGCTGAAACTTTGTAAATCGTCCTTTTTTCAATTGTAGACTTTATTCCAGTGTAATAAAGGTATACATACCTACATGTACCATGAAAAATTGTATCGCATCACTTTGGAAATTTACGCTAAATACACGTACTAAATACTAAACAAGCGCACATATCGTATTCATTTACAGCATCGGATTTTAAAACAATCACTCGTGGAATAACAAAGAAACTGTTAAGTACGTATTTCACACATTACCGAGGACTGCGGTTGTGACCGGTACAGCGGTAGAGGCCCTAATTATAAGCAGTCCGCGGCTCTCCCCGGCATTCTGCGGTACATCGCGGTAATGGCCGCGGTGCACCGCCCGTTTGATTTCCTACTCTTCCCTTACAATGATTTACCTTTCACTGATTCCATGACAACATTTGTTTGTATTTGAAAGGTGGTTAGAAAGTAGTAAGACATTTATGCATAGACTTTTGATTGTCATTTTGTTTTCTAATCATATCCAGCAGCCTCAATTCAATATTCTTTTCATATGTAAATTAAGATATTAATTTTTTGCCATGTTTTGGAAAATCTAATTTGCATATTGCCACATACTTGGTTCTTGAATAGAAATTTTGTGCTATGGTTTTATTTTTGCTTTTCACTAAAAATACTGTTAGCAGTTCATTTGATGTTGAAATTATGACAGGTATACAAATCCTGATGGTCAAGCAATATCATGTAAATTTTCATTAAACGGAATTGATTTCTGAAATTATTTGTAGTACATGTATATATCCATTGTAGCAACCTGTGAGCATAGTGAGATAGTAAATATGCAATTTATACTGGTGATAGCATGGAAAAATATTCAAAGTTGTCAAAATAAACCTTCTGTCATACAAGCCCTTGTGAGTCATTATCAAATCATAATTTTTTGTTTTTACCACATCTAGGCTGAGGACAAGTTACTGTTGAAAGAGGTTGGTGCAAAGGGAGAGGGTGATGCAGAAGAGGTTGAAAAACTATTGGAACAGGTAATCTCAAATTATCTTAAGTACCCCGGAAATGAAACAAAAATGTTTGATGTTGTTGTAAAAGATATTTTTTCGGCGACTGCATACCACAAGACCATCTTTTCTATAGAATAGAATAGAATAGAATAGAATAGAATATTACTTTATTACAATGTTAAAAAAATATATGCTATACTGAAAATTAAAAAAATATTATAAATTTTAAATTTCAATTTTGTTGATAACCTGCAGAGTGCTGATTCAAACTGTGTGAATTGGGATGGTATTCCAGTGTTAACAGTTGCTGTTATGAATATGAAAGAAGAATGTATTGTTCCTCTAGTTAATGCTGGCGCTAAGCTTGATAAAAAAGCTGGCTTGTAAGTACACTATTATCCATGTACAATATTGTATCAATCCCCATAAACCTTTTCTTTGAGCATTTTTAGAAATACTGGATTTTGTCAAGCAAAGCTTATCATAGGAGTGATTGTCCGTTGGCGTTTATTTCAATATTTTTCTTTTCGACTGAAAACGGTCCAATTGCTTTGATATTAGTACATCCATGCTCAGGTGGACCTCTCTCAGATTTGTTCATTTGGTGATGATGATATCTTTATAACAGCAGAGCCATCTCAGTCAAGAGGCCAGAATTTATATTAACTCCAAGTGCTAAAACAACAGAAAAATCAAGATTTTAGTTTAAGTGTGTCAGTCAGTGCACATTTGTAGTTGCTGACACCAATGGTTTTCAAATCAGAAGAAATAGTAATCTTCTTAGCGATATTTTTTTAAATAAACTTTCAGTCATTAATTTGAGTTATTTTTATTGCACTATGAAGATTAATGTTGTTACCCAGTTTGAATTTCGGTGTGATAAGATTTGATTTACCCTGTGCATATTTCTATGTATAGTGTTGAATAATCAGTAAGTGATATTTAACGCAAATGATATGCAACATGGTCATGTGATAACTGACAATATAACTATTATGTAATGTATGTATTTGTTCTTTTCTTATAGGAAGGGCAATACAGCTTTGCATGAAGCTGTTAATCTGGGTCCTGAAGGTCAGAAAATAATCCAGATACTACTGGATTGTGGGGGTAATCCAAAGAAAATAAAGAATGATAAAGGAGAGACTGCATATGATTTAGCTGTTAAAAACAAGCATGAGAGCATCATAGCTTCTTTTAATTCTAATATTGGGCAAGAAATGCTGAAAAAAATGAGTAAAATTGATTGATAACATGAATTAATAGCAGGGTATTTAGTGAAACAGAATTCATCTATATTTGTTTAAACACAATTACTGAAGTAAGATTTTATAATTGTTCATAAAGTTATATTGTATATTTCGTTTGAAGCCTTTGGCATGGTCTGTAATAATATTGCTATAGTTACGGTGTTCACAAGATATTCAGTTCAAAAGTGACTTTCAAATAGCCAAATATTCCTGAACATTTCTGTCAACTGGTTTGTGATTGAATTGTCAGTGTCTTGATGAACTTACTGACTATGGTGGGAATTTATGAAAATGAAAAGGTATAAATCTATTTGCATCTTATTGATCTGTGATGTACAACAAACTATCGATTAGTTTCTTCTACAAAAATAAGGTTCATCCTTTCAAAATTTATTGGATGACACTTTTACTTATGCTGTGCCTGCCTCTGAATCGAACATTTCTTACTTTCTATTAGTTATGCTTAGCGTGCAATGAAAGCAGAATTCAAAACAGCACTGCTTGGTGATAGAGGGACTTTGGTTTAGACTATAATAACTTAGCCAATAAACTCCAAATATATCAGGTTTTAATCAGGATAACTAGCAAATACCGTTTTAGATGTTTTTTGCCCAAGTTACTTAAGGTAGCAGGACTATTATTTGCATACTTGTTTTCATCTTCAAATTGTGACCAAATGATGACAAATAGACCCAGGAAAGTATATATTTTTGGAATCACCAGACTTCAAGCTGTTCAAAGGTGTGTTTGTCATGCCCGTATCTGCATTCTACGATGCGTTACTTAATCAAAAGTGAAAAATTACTTTTTCTGTAAAAAAAATAATTACGCATTTATGCTGGTGATAAGAAGTTTTTTTTCCAATTTTCCTAGTTGTTCAATACTCTGGTAAATTGAATGTGTCTGGTCAGTTTTATTCAAGCAACGTGTTTTGAAAAGTAGTGTCCTGAATTTGAATTAATGTTTTAGCCGCATTGCCCCCAACTCAAACCACAACACATTGGTAAATAATCCATGAAATAGTTTGTCTGGACACATTCAAGTTCCTCTCATTGTCACCTTAAAGCTGTGAAAATTTGGTGTTAATCCGACTACAATAAGTATACTGAAAAACAAACTCCTAGAAAACGTCCATGAAGTCACAGCAAAGATTTTCAAGCTTGTTTATCTGCACAAGCGATTTGGTTTCCCATCAAGGTCTGTTTTAACATGTGCAGGGGCATCCAAATGTGTAAGGCTATTGGAAACCAAAAAAATGAAGGAATGGGATAGCTATAATTCGATAAAATCGGCAGATGAAAACACAAAATCAATGATTTTTTTCAGTGGCTGTGTGACCTTGTGTCTGACACATTCATATGCAAATGACTAATCTGTGAAATAAACAGAGGCGGAGACAAACCACTCAAATGTTTGGAAACACTAATTGTGTGTCAGATAGCTACTGATAATACATCCTAACATTGCTTTGTCTTGAGTTAATCTTTGAAACATATAGGCACACAGATTAAACCTGTGTTGTTGATTTTGGAAAACACTACTGAAGCTGCCTTGCTTCCCTTCAGAAAATCTACATTTTAACCAACTTACATGACATTCTAGGTTACATTGACTTTATCAGATGAAAGTTGATAGTGCATTTCATCAATTAATAAATAAATGTGAAAATCGTAATTGTCAACACAAATAATAGTCTCGCTACCTTAAAATTCAAAGGTCTTTAACAAATGTTGCCAACAATACA